GAATTCTGGGAGTTGAAGTCCACTCACCTTAAAGTGGCCAAGTTTGGACAACACTGGATTAAACTAAACATTCTAAGTGGTTCCAAAACAAGGAAGGAAGGAATGTGCTGGATGCAACAACTGTCAAAGTGCCAACCCGCAAGAACAGGGTCAACATCTCCACCATGATTCAGATGCGCAGTTGGTGCTGCTGGAATAAAAGCCGAGGAGCCATTCAGAATCATGGGTTAAAACATTTCATTTCAGATAAACGAGGAACATCAAAGACCACGAAGGACTGATGTGTCACTGATTCCCAACCGACATCTAAAGGTTCCCATTTTCCACAGGATTGGGGACAGCACAGCCCTTCTGAAAAGGAATCAGCACAGTTTTTAAAGCTAACAGCCCCTCTGCTCTCCAAACAGAGCGGTGTTTCTCAACCTTGGCAGCTTTAAGATGTGTGGACTTCAACTCCCAGAATTCCCCAGCCAGCCATGTACCTACACATATACCCACCCTGATCTTTTCTTTTAGGGTAAGTAACGTGATATAAAATGCAGAAAAAGGAGTAAGTGCTAGGAGTAAGCAGTAATCAGTGTGCAAAAGACTTTAAAAGATGGAGGTAAGGAAAAAAGAAACTGAAGTCCATGAGCATCTGTAGGGGGAGATGAAAATGTGCCACGACCATGTGACTGAAGCTCCCTTTTTGTTTATATGCCTGTTGCAAGTTAAAAAAGGGGTGGAGCCTCAGTTGTGTGGTTGCAGACATCATCTTGACATTTTTTCATCTCCCCTGGGGTCACCCTGGACTAAATACAGATAGTCCCCATTCAGTGACCACAATTGGGACCAGCAACTTGGTAATTAAGCAAAGCAGTTGCTAAGTGAAACTACGATTGTGTTTATGATCTTCCTTTAGAGTTCCTTTGCTTTAGAGACCTGTGAAGGTCATCAATGCGAGCATTGATCACAAAGTGACTTTTTCATCATTGTCGTAACTGCAAATGGTCACTAAATGAGGCAGTCGCTAAACGAGGACTACATGTAGATCTCATTTGCACCAACCCCATTCACTTGTACTTCTCCATAGCCTTTCCTCCTTGCTTTCTCCCTGTTCATACACTGCTTCACACACTGCTTTTTGTTCTTTAAATGTCCCTCTCTTTTTGAGCATACCAACACCATAAACCACATGGCCTTCTCAGGAGCAGCCCCCTCACTGTGGAATGCTCTGCCCCCCACCAAGGCCTCTACGCTTTCCAAAGGGGGTGAAAGCAATGCTTTTTCACAGGACTTTTGGAATGGTGGTGATTGTCTGTAATGATGTAGATAGGGTTTTTTCCCCTGATTTTAGCATAGATACCATATTTTTATGTTTTCAGTATCGCAAGCTATACCTACAAAGATCAGAATCGTGCAAGCCATGATATTCCCTGTGACACTCTATGGAAGTGAAAGTTGGACTCTGAAGAAACAGGAGAGGAAGAGTTTCATTACCCGGCTAGGTAATATCTTCAGAATGTTCTGAATCTTCTGAAGATGTGACTTAGCCGGGTAATGAAACGTTTGCAAGAAAACAACCCAGCTCAGAGAACCCCAAGGACTCCACAGTTCAACCCTGAACTATACATATTCGCTTCTAGAGGAAGAGTATTGATACTTTTCAACTTGGTGTTGGAGAAGTGTAATCCAACTCATTTAAGGGATCAGAAATTAGGATGGACTAATTTCGAGGGAGCTGAGAGATCTATTTCCCTTTTCCTGTTGTGTTTTGCCCAAGAATGCCACTGGTCTGGAACCCGTGTGCAGATTCAGAAACACTGTGAATGCTGAATTTTGCAAAACTCTCATTCAAAGGGGAATTGACTGTACAGGGAGTCCTCACTTACCGGCCGCTCGTTCAGCGACCATTCAAAGTTATGATGGCACTGAAAAAGGAAACTTATGGCCAGTTCTCGAAGACTGCAGCATCCCTGCAGTCATGTGATTGCAATTTGGGCATTTGGCACCCAGCATGCATTTTCGATTGTTGCAGCGTCCCGTGGTCACATGATCTTTTGCAACCTTCCCTGCTGGCTTTCCACAAGCAAAGTCAATGGGAAGCTGGCAGGAAGTTGCGAGTCATGGTCATGTAACGCTGTGTTTAATGACTGTGGGTGATCTGCTTAACGACTGCATCCGGAACTGACAAACTGATGTCATAAGTTGGGCACAGTCACATGACATTTCACTTTATGAGCGTGTCACTGAATGACAGAGTTGCTGGTCTCAATTGTGGTTGGTAAGTGAGGACTACCTGTAATTGACTTTATATATTGACTTTCTAAATCAGACTCTTGTTTCAAATCAAATTGTTAAACTGAACACGCCGCTTCCAAACTGATTTGACGGCCCTTTTCTGGACTGAACTGAGTATCTGAGTCAGATCAAACTTGACTCACTGATCCAATTCAGAGATCCAAACCAATTCAATTGTTGGAGATCCAGATTGACAGCTCAGATGTTACTGCTTTGATGTTCCAAACTCAATTGGCAATTTGAATCAGATCTGATGCCTCTAATTAACTTAGTGGGGAAGCTTTGGGGTTACTAAAAAGTAGAGCTCAGAATTCAAATTTGTGCCTAATTTCTCTGAATTTCTCAAAGAGAAGACATCCTCCAACAACTTCTCAAGCCCCCCAATGTGTTTGGATCTAATAGGAAAAGCCAGCCTCTCCGGCAACCTCATTATCAAAGAAGATCAAGGACTCTACCCTCCCGTATTTAGAATTTCACCAACGTCCTCTTCTCCCCTGAACAGTTTTTGGAAAGCAAATTCTCTTTCCTCGAATTAAATGCAAATTGTCGCGACTATTTAAACCGGGGGGCAAAGCCGCAGATGGAATTGCAACGCCCAGAGGAATGGGGTGGCATTCAGAAGGCCAACGGGGCTTAAAATGGCTCGCCACCACACTGTGACTTCCTTGCCTTCCCCACGTGCCAGACCAAGGGCTAACGAAGCCCAGCTAGTTAAGCAAGAACACCGAGTGGTCCAAAAGACCTGCAGTGATGGCTGAACCATTCAAAGGCCTGCTCCTGGCAGGTGGCCATATACCAGAAGATGGCACGTATTTGCTGAGGTTGACTTGCTGCCTCGGCCTGCGGGATCAATTCCACCCTCGCTGGGTTTGGGGGACGCCTGTTGCCAGCTGTGTCACATGTTCCAGCAGGCCTGGCTTCACGCGCCTTTGGACGGCTGGGCACATTTCCAATCTGTTTAAATAGAGAAAGCACATGGAACCGACTCTCCTGCCCCGTATTGCTAATTTTTTTTAAAGGCCAGTGAGGAAAAAGGAAGGCAATGCAAGAGTTTCTCTTCCAGTGCGCTGATGTTCCCTTGAATTGCAACCTAGAGACCTCTGGATGGTGCTAGGTGGGGGGAAATTGCTGCCGTCCTGCCTGTGGGTCTGTGCCCAAATATTCTTCACACACAACTAATATTGATGCATGGGGATGGTTTCCTTATTCAATTTGGACGCTGCCTAGTTGTGGCACAACTCAAGGAGAAGGACAGAAATCTAAAAACACAACCTAAAACCAAACAGAAGAACGAGAAGTCAGTCATAAAAACAGCACTTGGTCAATTAACGGTCAAGCAGCCGCACTCACGCAACACACTAAACTGGGTAAGCCTTAACCTTTGGTTAGTTTTTTTGTGGCTTGGTGTGTTATACAAGCCCGGCTCAATTAGTTAGTTTATGGTTCAATATATTGTGAGAACAGGAGTTCATTCAGAGATAGGTTAAGTGGGTTGCGTGCAACCAACTTCATGACTTGGAAGGAGCCAACTCCGGGCAGGGATCCAGCTTAAAAAAGCATTGCCAGCAAATGCCAGCCTAGCTTCTGCTTGAAGGCATTCCCCAAAGTATCTGCAGCGGAGTGGAGAAGGGAGGGAAGTTGATGGCACGCGTGTGGCAATGCCGTTATGCAAATGTTGAAACTTAAGTTAATTGCATCAGAGGTTGGGATGTTGCAGGATGGCACCCCTGCAAGGGTGTTGTCATTCTGGCATCATCATGGCTGTTGCAGATCATCCCTTGCTTAGTCTTTGTTTCTACTGCAGGATATTATTGCTTTTTTCCAAAAAAAATATGTATCTTCCTGTGTTAAACCAATTAATGAAATAAAAGTATACCTACGTGAAACAGAGTTAATGACAAAGCTTCAAACCTAATTATAATAATAATTTTCAAAGGGAGGCCTGACAAATTATGCTACAAAAAGACAACTAAAAAAGTAATAGCTCCCTGCCACGTTGCTCTAAAGCAGTGTTGTCCAAACTTGGCCACTTTAAGATGAGTGGACTTCAACTCCCAGAAT